AAAACATTATTTGATGACGACGAATTTATATTTTTTATGCATTTTAAACAAATGAAAAGTTGTTTTGAAAAGTATGCTACTTGTAATATATGTGGTACAAAGCTTTCCATGTTGCATGATCATTCAAGACACTTGGGTTTTTCTTTGTTTTTTCAAATTTATTGCAGTGGTTGTGCTTTTAAAGATACATTTTTTTTTTCTCCTGTTGTCAAAAACAATAAAGCTGGTATAAATACTAGTGAAATTAATGTACGCAGTGTTATGGCATTCAGGGAGATTGGCAGAGGCAGAGATGCAATGTTAACTTTTACCTCCATAATGAACATGCCACCACCTTTATCAAAACCTAGTTTTGACTGTATTAATAGCAAACTTTACGATGCTTATAAATCAGTCGCTGAGCAAAGTATGAAAAATGCTGCTATGGAAGTTAGGAGAATACTGAAACCTGACTCTAATATGAATGATGTTATTGATTGTGGAATTTCTATTGATGGTACCTGGCAGCGAAGAGGATATTCTTCTTTAAACGGTGTTGTGGTAGCAACGTCTCACGACAACAACAAAGTATTGGATACTGTTACATTATCTAAGTTTTGTAAAGGATGTCAAATTTGGGAAGGAAAAAAAGGGACACTCAAATATGAGCAGTGGAAAGTTAATCATTCCTGCCAAGTAAACCACACTAAATCAGCTGGTGCGATGGAGTCAGCTGGTGCAACAGAAATATTTTGCTCTTCAGTAAATAAATATAAGGAATATAGGGAATCGACTGCGTCTTAAAAGAAAAGAATTACGACGGGTAAAACTATCTGACGGAAAAAGTATATCTGGTAAAGGTCGTCTCACGGATAAAGTAATTAACATCTTGCAAAATTATGTTGGAATGGCTATTAGACAAAATTCAAATAGTCTTTTGGAGATGAGGAACTCTGTAATATCTTCACTTCATCATTGCACTAATTTTACCTCTGGAGAATATCGTCATATGTTTTGCACTAAGGGTGAAAAAAGCTGGTGTAAATGGCAGTCTGATAGAGCAACTGGTCATGTTACATACAAGAAAAAGGTGAATTTACCCGTTGCCATTATGGAAAAGATCAAGCCAGTATTTCAAGATCTAGCAAATACTGATATGCTTGCAAAATGTTTGCATGGTATGACTCAAAATGGAAATGAAGCGTTTAATCAACTAATTTGGAACCGATCCCCTAAAACTATATTCACCTCTAAAGTTGTTGTTGAAATGGCTGTTTACTCTGCAACCATTACTTATAATGATGGTTTTGCTAAGTTATCTTCTGTATTTGATGCTCTTAATATTAAATCTGGTAGTTACTTTAAAATTGGTGCAAGTAAAAAAAACTCTATACGGCTAAAAAATATGAACAAAAAAATGTCAGATGAAACAAAAAAAAAGAGAAAAAAATTAAGATCTGTTAGAAGAAACTATTTTGGACAAAAATTAGATAAAGAAACTGCAAAAGATTATTGTGCTGGTGGTTTTTAATGATTTATCTGAGTAGTATACATGATTTATAATTTTAAAATTGATTTTTCTCAATTTTTGTTTTTTGTACGGGTAGCTGTAGCAAAACAATGATATCTCATTAAAAAAACATTATTTTAGCTTCAAATTTTCAGGATATGTTCATTATTGATGTTTTTAGTGCCTGAACCTAAAAAAACATTTAAAAAAATTAAGCTTAACCTACAATTACCATATCTAATTAGTGTTTTATCGCTAAAAATAGTTTTTTATATCATTAAGTCTGCCATTTTTGATTGTTTAAATTTTTTTCAAAAATTATTGGTTCAGGCACTAGCTACACTAGTGTACTAGCTTTATGCAAAATTTAAACCTTTAATATTGATTTATTCTTAAGATATTTATGTTCTTGTGACGTTAACATTTTCACCTTTTTTTGCTGAATCAGCATTTATTTTTTATTAATTTAAAAAAAAAATTGCATTACGTTTTAGATCTTTATCTATTATGCTAGTAATTCATCATCGGTTTTTATTATGTGTAAAATATAAAAAAATAGAACTAATGGCTGGATACCACCTTAATCTACATTTTTTTGAAATAATTATTCTTTTGTTATTTTTTGTGTCAATGCAAATATTTGTTTTTAGGACTCAAACAAATGGTTGAAATGATTCTTAAAAAATAAGTCATACATCAAAACATTATCATGCTCATCATTATCATATATATCACCATAAATTTTCTAACTTTTGTGACTATTTTATTTAAAGCATTTAAGAAAACCCTAACGATGATTAGTTTCCATGACATTATCAACCGCCTGATGCCTATACTCTTCAGAATTGACGAGCGAACTATAACTCCAAGCGACGTTGTAAGACTTTTTATGATCATTCATCTAAACAAATGGAAATCCTATTTATACTTTTTAAAAAAGCTCACAGCAAAAGCAGTACAGAAAAGTAAATACTGGAACCATCTAACGAAATAACCGTCTAAATCATTTTTATAATAACCATCATCAGTTGAATTATGAAACTAAATGCTAATATTTTATTTTAAAAAAAAATTGTATTGTATAAATATTTACAACATAAATATAATTAAAACTGCTAATAAAATACATTAATTACAAACTCGCAATGAGCAAGTTTAAATTATTTTTTAGCTAAAAACATGTCCGATCACTGCATTTTTATAATTACACCCTTTTTAAAATTACATAAAAGTTCCAATTTAATTTTAATTCCAGAACTTAAATCCCATCTTCTGTCATTTTCTTCACAATGTAAATATATAATAGCATAATAATGCTCAACTATATTTCAAAAGTTTGAATACATATCCAAATAATAAATAAATATTTACAAATCATTATAAAACAGCTATTTTAAGTAAATTGATTCAACTTGAAAATTATTTTTTATACCACATAACATGGGGTAGAAAAATAAAAAACAAAAACAACGCGTTTTCGTCGTGCTTTTAACATACTTTCAACTATCAGTTTTGAATCAGTATTTTTTTTATATCAGTTTTAAACTATTTATTACCTTATTATTTTAAAGACTCAATTTTTCGTTTGTATTTATATTTATTTACAAGTACTTTTAAAAAATGATCGATGTTAAATTAAATTGATGAAACGCTTAATTCATTTCAAACGATTAAAGTTAATTAGATTGACGTTATCTTTCTCGAAATTTCCACTGTAGCTCTGCATAGACAACGTATCTCCCGTGCACATATCACTTACTTTATTTCCACGCGAACTGTCTGAACAATCTGAGTCATTTATCTAAATAGTATTTTTTTATTAGTTAGTTTAAAGCATCGTGAAAATCGATTAACTAGTCAATTAAATAGATTAACTAATCGATTAAACCGATTATTAACTAAAATATTTTCTGAAAATAATATAAGTTTGACGTTACAACCCACCATTTTGAATATTATTAAAACATCTATTAAGTTAAAACTATAATATCAAGAGATTATAGGTAATCTGATGCGCCAACTTTTATTTAACTTTATTAAGGGATGGTCTTGAGGGACAATAGAAATTAAAATGCCACTACGGCTATTTTTAAAGGATGGTTCCTAGACCAAGGTTTAAAGACGCTGCTAACAATATGTTATAATAATGTATTTTTTTTTAAAACCTTTTTTTAAAACTTTTAAAAACTGAATTTGTGAAATTGTAAAAACAGAATTGTGTAATTGTTTACTTACGCTTACTGTTACTATTTTATAAAAAAAAAATGCAAAGATTTGCTATTATTATGTATTATACCGTTATTTAAACATTACTTTTTTTTTTTTTTTAAATACAAAAAACTAAGCATGAATAAAAAAGTTCGGAATCTAAAAGTTTACCTGACAACGCTGGGTTTTTGTGGGCCTTATATGCATCCCCGATACACTTAAAACAATATCTGGAATAAGCGAGAGTAATACGATAATAAGTAAAGACAGCCAAAAAGACAACGCCACAACCAACTGATAAAAGGAATCATACAAACTGAAGTCATACGGTACTTTAAAGGTCGTTCTTATACCAGGCCTGTTTTAAAAAAAAAAAAGCTCTAAAAAAATCAATGCCAAAGTTTAAAGATTTTTATGCTAAAATAGGAAAAAAATTGAAACATCTTTAGTTCAAAATGTTAAAATATAAAAAATATAAAATTAAACAAACATACCATGGCCAAATAACACCACTTATAATCAAAACAATGCATACGTATAATAAAATAGACCCCCATAAAAATAAATGAACAAACCACGTCCAAAACTTTATGATAAACGCAATCTAAATTAATTGCAATTTTTCATATATATAATCATATATTTTCAATGAAAGTTAAAAAGAAATTAAAAATATGACACGATATAACTGAGATATTAGAAATAATATATATATATATATATATATATATATATATATATATATATATATATATATATATATATATATATATTAGAAATATATAAAAATAAAAATATATACTTTTTCAGAAAATAGAAAATATATATATATATATATACCTTTAAACTTGAGATATTAAAAAAATATATATCTAATACCTTTAAATTTGTGATGAGAATCACAAGTGTAAATACAAACACGCCAAACTCAAAAAAACTATAATCCTAAATAACAAATAATCAAAAGTCAACATAAGCAATATAAAAAAGTCAAAAAGTCATAAAACCAAAACAAAAAAAGTTTACATAAAATCAAAAGAATTTTATATATAAACACAGTTTAAAATAAACACTGTTTAAAACCTTAAAACTTATAATTCACAATCAATAAACACTTCAGTAACTTTGACAAATAAATATAGCAATATAAAATTTAAAAATTTGATCAGAGTTACAGTATTTCATTTTCAAACTTACAAATACAACGCATCTAGCGTTTTCTTCATTTAACAAAATAAAGTCTTTAATGAAACAGAGTTATAAGAGTATATAACAGAGATAACTCTAATACTCCAGTTTTATTATAGATTTTATTGATTTACAGAGTTAGCCATAATACTCCAGTTTTATAATATAATTTATTCATTTTAACTGTTATGCCATAGCTACAACCTAATGCATTAAAATACAGCAGAAGAAAATTTAAATTCGTAATACATTATTAAATCTTTATTTTCATTTGATTTTAAAGGTATATTTTTGATGAAAAACAATTTAAGATTTTTTCTTTTACTTAATTCTATTGGTTTCTTTTTTTACTTTTCTGAACTTTACTTTCTTTACTTTCTTTACTTTCTCTGAACTTTCTTTGGTTTCTCTGAACTTTGTTTGTTTTCTCTGAACTTTAATTAATAAACCCATTAATTTGAATTAATTTAATTAGTATTCCATTAATTTCATTAATGGAATACTAATTAACATTAATAACATTTCATTAAATAGTATTTCACATTATTTAGTAGTTATTTTGTACAAATAATTCTCACAATTAAATTAATCTGGTTCATTAAATATTTTGGATTTAATATTGTAATAATTATTCAGTCAACAAATGGTACCGTTTAATATCAATAATTTAAAAAATGGAACATTTCAAATTAAAAAAAGTTAAAAATGCAAAATTAGGCAATTCAGGTAAAAATAGAAAATAAAAGAATTAAAACTGAAAATGATGCAATGATTCAAAATGGTGGAATAATTCAAAATAGTGGGAAAATGCAAGATAGTACAGTAGTAAGTGACCGGGGCCTTGTCCCTGGCTAAAGACAAAACTTTTTGCAAACCTATCCTGGCAAATTTATAAGATTTAGCAAGGATTAGAAAAAGATAATAAGATTTAGCCAGAACTAGAAAAGAAATTCTAACACTTAATATATTATAACTTTATATCTTACATTTTTACTATTTATTAAATGATTAATAAACAGTAAATGAAAAGGAGGGATGTTCTTGCAAATAAGATTTAAAAAATAATTAATGTTCAATAAAGCAATTGCTCAAGATGGTGAGTAGAATGAGGCCTGACTTAAAATAGAAGAGAAGAAATAAAAGCTTCCAAACTTTTATTCCAGAAGGAACAAAAGCTTCCAAGATGCACTTTATGCATACATATTATAGTTATAAACATATACGATTGCTATTTATTTAGATGCTGGCATACAATATCCTTTCATTGCTTTATAAACTTAAGTATTTATATTATATTTATATGGATTAGTATTTGCCAAAAAAAAAAGATGATCAGATAGATCTGTGGTGTGACTCTAGCGAGGCATAATCTTAAGCGAGGCAATAAGCCATAATCTTAGACAGATTTGAAAAACATTGTATCAAGCAAAGTTTGCTAGAAAAGATTAAAGTAATTTAAATATCAGCATGTGGAGAGGTAACAGCATTTTTCTTCTACCACTACATTTTTCAGTAGAAAATGGTAGTGGTAGAAGAAAACTTGAAGAAACTTGAAGACAGTGCCTTACAAAATGACTAATGTGCTTTAGTTAAGAAAAAAAACTGCTTTAGATTGTTTATATTAGAGAAACAGCATAAAGAAGCAAGACTAAAGCCTGATGATGATGATGATGATAATGATGATGATGATGATGATGATGATGATGATGATGATGATGATATTGATAATGATTAATCATCATGATCATGATCATAATGATGATCATCAGGCTTTGTGCTTCCTATTTTTTGCTGTTGATGATGATCATGATGATGATGATAATGATCATCATCATCATAATGATGTTGATGATGATAATGATCATCATCAACAGCATCATAATGATGATGATTACTATCATCATAATGATGATGATCATGATGATAATGATCATCGTCATCATTGTCATGATGATAATAATGATTATGATAATCATGTTGATCATAATGATATGCGTATACAAAATATAAAATGAATTTTGAATAAACAAAATATATACTTTAGGATGTATAAATGTTTATGCAATCCCGGTCACAAACCAGGCCCTGGCTATATTTTAACCTGGCCCTGGTTAAATATTAACTTCGGTCACTTACTATAGTGCAATGATGTAAAATGGTAAAAATTAGATTAAGAGTGTAAAAAATAGTAATTAAAATAATAAATAAAAATTTGAATAAAATAATATATATAAGAATATAAATAGATATATAAAATTATTGTATAAAAACATATATAATATATGCATATGAACATTAATAGTAAACATTTAGCAACAACTGTTTGATATGTGAAAAAACAAAACAAAAACAAACCCCCTGTAAAAACAAACCTGCATAGTTGAAATAAAAGTAGTTCCAAAAACAAATTTTACACCAAAGAAAATTACAACAGCATGCCATAATCCTGAAAAAAAAGAAAACATGAAAAATTAATCAAAAAAATTAAAAAAAAAAATTAAAAAAAGTTACCTAGTTACGTTACATGCATGACACACATAGTACAATATAGGATTTACCAAATAAATGATTACTTATTAATAGTTACAACTTAAACATTTATAAAAAGGTTTCAGATTTTCTTTTACATTATATTTAAGCTATATTTATTGTACTTTAATATATACTTCATAATACTAAAACAAACAAACCAGCAAGAACCCAGTGCACAAATTTCTTCCAGGAAAGATTTGCATTTTTTACAAGTTCTCTGAAAATATAAATACAAATATCTAAACATCTCAGGTGCAAAACATCTCCTGTTTAATGTGTAATGACTCATCGAGTGCATTACCGTTCATAATTACTGTTCATAAATATAGGAAGATCTAGATTGTTGTATAACACATAATAAATAATGTAATAAATTATATTTTATTAGAGTTTATATATTTTCAAGTTAAAATAAAAAAAACTTTGTTTAAACTTTACTTGTGTTAAAATACTTTTTTATTTTTTCCTTAACACTAAAATTAAAGTTATTTAACTGTATTAATGTTCACTGCATTTTAACAGAATAAAGAAATGAAGTTGCACAAAATAACTCAATATAGAAACACTAGAAGCTACAATATAGAAACACTAGAAGCTACAATATAGAAACACTACAAGCTACCATTGTTAAATTTAAATTTTGTTAAGAAGTTGTTAAACTTCTACAGATAAATTACTTAAAACTTTGTTACCTAATTTTTATATTTAATGTTATACATTAAATTTTGTTACCTAATTTTTATATTTAATGTTATACATTAAATTTTGTTACCTAATTTTTATATTTGTAGATTATAGTATAAGCTACAAATATTAATGTTGATTCAAATATTAATGTTGATTCAAACATCTGTTTGAATCAACATTAGTTTGTTACGTTGGAGTAATAAACATGTTTAACTTATATTCTAACATAGTTCACTATGACAGAAAATTATTTTTTTATTCTTATTTAAGTTGAAACTGAAAATGATGCAATGATTCAAAATGGTGGAATGATTCAAAATAGTGGGAAAATGCAATATAGTAGTAAGTCAATATAATAGTTTCTTTCTGAGATTAGAGAGTATAAAGAGTTGAGAAAATAAAATAAAATATTCTCTTTGAAACACAAAAAACTTAGTATAAAAAAAATTATTTATTATTATTTTATTATTAAGAGTTATTTTAGATATCTTGTTGTCTTTTGAGATCTAATCTTAATGTCAATTATTATATAAATATAACTATTGATGTCAATTTTTATATAAATTTTAGTAGTTCTGATTTAGTTCATTTTGGCTTAATAAGGTACAACTTCTCTCAATTTATCAATTGAATTAAATCAATCGATTCAATTCAAGATGCCTTGAGATTCAATTCAAGATGTCTTCAATTCAAGATGTCTTGATTCAATTCAAGATATCCTGATTCTATTCAAGATGAATTAAAAGAAAGAACACAAGATTAGTTATTAATGAAAAACTAGTTTACAAAAAAAAAAATTCACCCCTAAAAAAAAATTTTACCTGTATAAAATTGGATGATCCATTAATGTCTCTTCTTTAAGATCTTTCTCAAAAATACCATACAGCAGAATTGGCATTGATGTAAAAAGTATGTTGAAAGTGGTTAAAAACACACCTGCATACAATGGCTAAATTATAAACATACATGAAATAAAAAAAAAGAATAAAAAAAGAATATTAAAAATAAAGATATAAAAATAGGGTAAATAAATTAAAAAATAAAAACAAAGTTAAAAAAAAAATAAACATTTAATAAAGGAGATTAAAATATAAATTTATTTTAAAGTAAGATTTCCAAAAGGTCATCTGAAAAAATAAAGATTACGAAGATAAAGAGTGTTGTCATTTATTCAATTATAAAGTAGAGGAGTTGTAAGAGTACTGACATTCATCAGAAAAAAGCATTGACGTTCATTAATACAAGAATGTTAACAATATTGTTTTTTATTCGAAACAAACAAATAAATAAAAACACACATTCTCTGAAATAAAAATATAAATAAAAACACAAACTCTAAAACACGCTAATTAATCCAATTCACACTCTAATCCAACACACACTCTAAAACACACTTATTAATAATTAAATCCACTGATTGGATTCGAAACTGATCTAACTCAACCAACTGGAATTGAAACTGATCTAATTTCACTAATAGTGGAATTGAACTCTGAAGAACAAAACAGAAAAAAAAGAAACAAACAGATTGTTTAAATTATCATATTTAAATAAATTATCATATTTATCATACTTAAAGACCAACCTGTCCAGAGTAGCCATTATACATTTGAAAGATGAACTGAGGAGTAATAAATGCAATATTCTAATAAAAAACAAACTTTAAAGTAATAAAACCAAAAAATCTTTAAACAAAACAAAGTAAAACTCTACGCTAATTTTAGACTTTTATTTTAACTAAAAAAAAAAATTACAAAAAGTAAATGAACATTAACTCATTGTTATCTATTCATACAATAACAGTTGAAAAATACAACACCTTATAAGGGAAATCAGTAACTTTTAAACTTTGTATGAAATTATAAATATATTTTTTATATAAAATTATTTTTGTCATTAATTATTAAGAAGAAACAAATAGATTAATTTGTTTTGAAAAACTGTTTAAAAGCAACAAAACTGTTAAAAGACAAGAAAAACTAAAAAAATGTTTTTACCTTGTAGAAAAAATAAAGTACAACTGTAGCTAATCTTGAGTAATAGTTATGTCCATGTACCAGTAACACTCGTTTTAAATAACGAAACCTGTGAAATGCATAATCACTGCATCTTACAGCTTGTCTTCCTTCTTTACCCATTATTCCACAACCAACATGCGCTTCCTGAATCATGGAACAGTCATTAGCCCCATCACCAATTGCCAATGTTATAGGTTTAAACTTGGATTCTTTTACTAGACGTACAACCTCAGTAAAATAAAAAATTTATAAAACCTTTTCTTATCTTTAAATGGTTCACTATATATTTGAGTTCAAAGTAACTATATATTCACGAAAAAAGTTTGAGTAAAAATAATCTATTTTAATTTAATTTGAAAATTAAAAATTAAACTGTTTATTTTTAATTAAAGTAAATTTTTCATTATCAATTTATTTTAATAGTGTTATATAAAAAATATCATTTTTAAAACCATTCTTCCAAATATTTTTATTTTTATTAATTATCTATTATATGAATTATTTATGATCTATAAAAATAATATATGTTGATATATTCAAATAAATGTTGCATAATGCAAACATAAGATAATTCATGGTGCTCATATTCACATGTGAATTAATGTTTTGTTTGTTTTATGGTTTAAGCTCTGTAAAAATTTAAAGTTAATGTATTAATAGTTACCTGAGCTTTTTGTAAGGGTGACATTCGACAGCACAAAACTGCTACACAATGTTGTGCAAATTCAAGGAATTTATCTAAAATAAATATTTTTCATAACGTTGAATTGTATAAAATTAAAAAAAATAAAAAACAAAAAAAACTCATTATAATTTTTATTTTTAAATATAAATATCATAATAATATTAAAATTATAAATGTATAAAAACTAATAATTTATATTGTGTACTTTTTCAACTGTTTATTTAAATGTTTAAATGATTCTTTTTTTATTAAAAACTAGAGATGTAGAGATACTTGGTTCTGGCTTGTCATATCTATATCTTCTAAGTACTCGGAAAAACAGTGGAACAATTCAAGCCAGAAACCTGGCACTTTTATAATCCTAGTGATAAAAATGATGATTCCCAGTCAGAGCTAGATATCGTCATCTTTCTAATTCGGAGGATTTCCCGGGTACCCAGAATAAATAAATGTGCTGGATGCCGAGCTTTGAAGCTTTGAGAAAACAGCTGGAAAAATGAGACCAAGTTAGGAAACTGACACATCTCTACTAGGAACTTTTATGATCTATCTTTCTGGGAACCTTTATGATTTTATTTGAAGAACTTTACAAGTTGGTTTTGGTAAAACTAGAAATTTTTTTGTTTGCAATTACTTTTTTATTATATATTTTTACAATATTTTTTATTACTTGTAAACTATTATTTGTAATAATAGTTTTTATTCTTATTTAAAGTTTTTGCTTATACGCCTAAAAGTTTACCCATATAAAAAAAAGTACCTGCACCACTTTTAAGAATAAGAGAAAGCGTTGATCCGTCTACAACAAGAGCTTTTTCTGATAAATCATCTAAATTAACTTCTATTCTAAGAGAGAAAAAAATATGTACATAAATATTTATTTTGTGAGTTAACATTAATTAGAAAAAAATATTAAATTAATTATTATTAATATTATATACTAACTAGAAAAAATTTAAATTATTTTTAGTTTTAAAATTTACAAAAATTAATTCTAAATTAGGTTCATAAAATTAATTCAACAAAAAATTACTATTAATAGTAGTTATCAATAAACACACACACACACACACTCGCACACATACACGCACACACATAAACATTTTAATGTTTGTGTGTGTGTGAAACACACACACACAAACATTGAAAATTCATAAAAAATTAAAATTAAAATGCATCGATATAGTGCATATTATAAAAAACATAATAATTTTCAAGTTAAAACAACCAAAAAATATGTAATTATGAAATAAATTAATACACCAACCAAAGTCACTCAAATAATAATTTGTAATTCATCATTTATCATAATAAACTATGATAAGTAATGAATAAAAAATAATTAATAAACATTTTTTCTTTAGTAAATTATATTTTATTTTAATGTTTCTGCCAATATATCATTAATTAAAAATACTCTTTAAAACACAAACTTTCGTTAAAACTTAATAAACTAAACATCAAGTCTGATTTTGTCATAAAGCACCACAATGTACTTAGGAAAATATTATTTAAGGATATCAAAAGGTTATGGACTCAAAAAAAATTATAATACTAATAATAAAAAAAACCTAAAAATAATAAACACAAATTTATAATCATACAATAATAAAAATTGTAATATAAGTTAAAAAAATACTTTTTTAATGCCTCTTTCAGCCCAACATCAACCTCTGATACAGTTTTTTTCTTAGTAAGATATGTTACATCCATATTTTGCTTAAAATGAGCACAGGAATAACTTATATTAACTGCTGTTTCCTGTTTGTCACCAGTTAGTACCCAAACCTATATAAAAACATTTTCTTATTAGCAAATTAAAAATGACAAGAGATTAATTTATGTGTGTTAAAATACACAAAATAAAAAGATTCACAAACTTAATAAATTTGAATTTACATAAGTAAAAATTTGAACAACCTTTATACCAGCTTCTCTCAATGACTCTATTGTTTCTTTAACCCCATCTTGAAGTCTAATAAACATTGAAAAAATAAAAATAAACATTAAAAAAAAAATAAAAATAAAAGCATTGAATTATATATATATTATATATATATATATATATATATATATATATATATATATATATATATATATATATATATATATATATAAATTTATGTAAATATATAAATATATATAAATATATAAAATATATATATATATATATATATATATACACACACATACACACACACACACACACACATATATATATATACATTAAATACAACACACTTATCCTCAACAGCTGATGCACCAAGTAAATGAAAGTCATTCTCTAGCTTATCAAATGCTTCTGCTAAAAGCTCTTGTCGATTGGTGATTGAATTTTGTGCTTGAAGTAGCACATTATTTATTTCTTTATAAAGCGGGTAAGAAATACTTCGAGATGTAATTGCTAAGGTGCGTAAACCCTCCTGTTTAAAATAAGTATAAATATATATATATATATATATATATATATATATATATATATATATATATATATATATATATATATATATATATATATATATATATATATATATATATATATATATATATATATATATATATATATATATATATATATATATATATATATATATATATATATATATATATATATATATATATATATATATATATATATATTACAAATAATAACTAAGGGAACACATGTTGAAATTTATAAAAACACAATATTAGGCCTATAAATACTTTAGCTTTAATACAAAAAAATATTGATTCAAGTAAAATATATTCTAAATAAATATTTTATTTAGTTAAATACAAATAAAACCAAAGAAATAAATTAGAATACAAAGAAAATAAAAAAAAGCTACTTCATTACTTAATTACTTTGAAATCCAAAACTTTTAACAATACCTCATAATATTCAAATGCAGTTATTATTATTATTATTATTATTATTATTATTATTATTATTATTATTATTATTAAATACTGTAACTGGTACGAACCAGTGAGTGTTACTAGCATACTATGACAGCTAATTTGCATGACTGCTGCTCATCCAGCAATCAAGACCGGCTTTAAAACTGTTAACTGTTTCTGAATTAACCAAATCATTCGGCAAGCTATTCCATAAATTGGCTGATCTGTTAAAGAAAAAGTTTTCTCGATGAGCTTGCTTGGTGATTTATTTTACAAATTTAACCCGGTGACCAAAATCCAAAAAAATAACATCAACAGGTTTACCATTTTCTAAACTGGTGAAAATAAAATCTAGTGTATCAAGTAGATTTGTTGTGCATGATTTACTTTAAACAAAACCGTGCTGCTGCTTGACTATGAGTTTATACTCATTCAGAAAAATCATAAGTTTACATCTCATTATACCTTCCATTATTTTACAAGCAATTGAGGTGAGTGATATTATCAAAAAATGCCTTAAAGGAACACAAATATATTAAACAATTTACCAACAAAATATAATTTACCACAAATATATTAAATAATACACCAACAAAACCATATAAGATCAATAATTAATGGCATGTCTACTGTTTTAAATAACCTTAATACATCTATGAGGCATAGAGTCTATAAGTTTGTCTATTTGAACTTATTTTATATGTAACCAGGCGCTATGAAATCCTTGATACAATTCTTATGCATTGCCACCCAAATGTACCTTGTCATCAAGCTATTTCCATATATTCTTAATAGGATTAAGGTCAGGAGATTGTGCAGGAAGTTGCATTACATCAACTTTATTTGTTTTGATGTGTGTTTGAATTCTGTTGGAATGTCCACTTCAGAGGCATGTTTTCTTCTACAAAAGGCATAGTGTGATGCTCCAGAATTTTTTAATGCAACATAATGGTCCATATCCAGAAATTCCTGAAAAGCACCAAAACAATAAAGCTTTTGCCACCTCCATGTTTTAAGGTTCCTATAGTGTTTATTGGTTTTAACCATTTACGTTAGTAAATGGTTAAAACCAATGTACACTATAGGAACCTTAAAACATGGAGGTGGCAAAAGCTTTATTGTTTTGGTGTTTTTAAACTTTTTGTTTACCAACTGAATCATTTATGTTAAACTTAGACTCATCTGACCATAATATGTTTCTCCGCTGTTCTTTTGTCCAACTTTAGTAAGCTTTTGTAAACTCTAAACATGCTTTTCAGTTTTTTGCAGATTTAAGAGGTTTTTTTGCTGCACCATATTTATACAATCCTGCATAATTATGCACTTAATTATGCAATCCTGCTTTATAAAAATATTTTCATACAGTCTTTTCTGAAATATTTAGATAAAATTTATCAACTGTATCTCTTGCACTAGCAAATGGGTTCAATGATTTTTTTTTTTTTTAAACATTATTATATTTATTACAAGCCCTCTTGTCCCTTTTAAACTAAAATATTATTATAAACTTCTGCAAAGCAAAACTGGAGTTAAAATAAAACAAAAAAAAAAAAAACTAAAAACAACTTTCTAAACTGAAACCATGTTTTGAAAATAAAGTTTTATTGCAGTATTATTTTACTAATTTTTGATATTTTGAAAATTTTAAGATAAAAGTTCCCTTTGTTATGAAACGGTACAATTTTACCAATGTTTCATGTTCATTAATAAAATGCACAGATAAAAAAGTAAAACAAGTGAGGAATATATAAATATAAATATATAAATATATAAATATTCTCAATTTAATCTCAAGAGTTCCTTTAGTTATGGAGGACAGTGTATATACATTTTATATAAATATTATGTGTATATATATATATATATATATATATACATATATATATGTATATATATATATATATATATATATATATATATATATATATATATATATATATATATATATATATATATATATATATATATATATATATATATATATATATATATATACAAATACATATACATATAAAATATTTAAATGAAAATAAAAACAAACCACAGCATATTTATCAATATGAACCATAGTTTCTTGACAAGGTCCTGTAATGCATCGTGGAATAACATGTGAATCTGCCCCTTTACAGTACATAACTATGTCTTTGGTTGGTGTCTCTAATATAATACTCATTCGTTTTCTATTTGAGTCAAACTCAAGAACATGTAGTATTTTATATCTGTTTAAGAAAATAAGAAAATTTAAATCTTAAAAAAAATTTAAATATTGAAAACTAATCAAAATCATCAAAACTAATATTAAAAAAATATTTTTGACTTTTTAATAAAGAAAATTTTTAATAATAAAAATTTTTATTATTCTTTTTAGTTAAATAAAAACTGTTAATTTTGAAACATTCTAATTATTTTTTATTACATTATTATTTTAGTAAATTTATATAATATAATATAAGTAAGTTTTAATTAAGAATTAAGTAATATTAAAAATATATTTAAATTAATATGCCAACGGGGAAATGTAAAGTAGCTACTTTTTTTTTGGAAAGTGTACTTACAAATTTTAAAATAAAAAAAATCAAATAATAAAAAATATTCCAAAGATACTTAGAAAATATTGTAATTAATTTTTGAACTTCTGCATTTTTTATGCAAACACAAAACTAAAGTAAATTGTAAACAATATTTAGTTTAAAAATTTTAGTTAAAAAATTTAGCTTTTTAATTTTAAGTTTTTTATTATTTTACATTTAAATGTTTTGATTTTTTATTTAAAAAATAAATTTATTTGTGATCTAAATTAGTAATTATTTCAAAATCATTTCCAACAAGGTTCCAAGCAATCTTTTAATTAAGACACTAGAGAATTAAAAGAAAAGGAAACAGTTAACAAAATAAAAAACAGTATCTTGTATGAGGCCCATAAAAACAAGAGAGAATTGCGTTGAAATGGAAGGAAAGTTGATAACAGGTTCTTTGAGCATAAAGAGGTATCTACAGATAAAGAATGCAACAAATTTTTTCCTAGAATAGCCCCGTTATATTATATACAATATAAATTAAATAATATATAATTATAATATTATATAATTCTTAATCTTCTTATAATAAATCTTACTTTTATAAAGAAAGTTTTTTTTATCCTTAATTACATAGATCATTCAGGTCATTTTTTAAAAATCCGGAAAATTGCTTGGATAAAAAATCCGGAATCTATTTTCCTTTTAACTTTGCTTTTAGCTGAGTTGTTTTTAGTTTTTTTTTTAACTTTTCATAACTCTTTTATGATTGATGAGTGAAAAGGCTTAAAATATATATATATATATATATATATATATATATATATATATATATATATATATATATATATATATATATATATATATATATATATATATATATATATATATATATATATATATATATATATATATATTACAAAAATATATACCTAAACTTGTATTTATGGAATATGTTTTGAATATCTGGAAAAACTGAAAGTTTAAAAAAATATTCAGAATTCCTGAAATATCCAGAAAAAGATAATCCCTGTAATTAACAAACATTTATATGTTAGTTAATTAATGATAAAAAAACTTTCTTTATAAAAGTAAGATTCATTATAAGAAGAATAAGAGTTATATAATATTATAATTATAAATTATTTAATTTATATTGTATATAATATAACAGGGGCTATTCTAGGAAAAAAAAATTTTGCATTCTTTATCTGTAGATACCTCTTTATGCTCAAAGAACCTGTTATGATATATAACATCATGAAATTTATATTGTATATGTCATGAAATAATGTCATAACTAACAGTGAACATACTTTTCCAACTTTCCACATACTTCAAGCTCCATGAAATCATTTACTTTTCCTTTAAAAATTATACCAAACCTAAAATAAATAAAAAGAACAAACATTAAAAAATAAAAATAATAAATACTATATTATTTAATGTCAAAATAAATGTCTAAAAAAAAAAAGAAAAAAAAATATTACAAATAAATCAACTATTAATTATTTTATTTTAAACATTTAAATAAAATTATTTAAAAATAATAATTTATTAAAATAATATTAAATATTTTATTTACATAATATATTTAAGTAGTATTTTTATTACTTGTATTTATATACAAAAATACATAAAAACAAAACAATATAATTAATTTGTTTAAATGTTCTTATAATTTTTTAAAAGAATTTTTAATACAATAAAAATTCATTAGTTGATAATACTATCGAGATGAACCAGGTATCTGGTTATATTTTTAGTTTTGCTGGTGTATCAGGTATTTTCTGTAGCTGGCTAGTTCAATTTTTGAGGTGCTTGGTAATTTTGTAAAGAGCCTGGCAATTCAAAAACAAACAAAAAATAGATGTCAGTAACCTGGAAACCCCTGCTGTGTAGGTGTACCCGGTAATTTTAAATTACCGGGTATCCGGAAAACATACAGAAATTACAAGGTAACCATTGCCTCCCAGGATTGCAGACCATCTCCAAAATTTACCTTGTTTTATCAGAAATAGCCAGGCACCTCCAAAAATTAGCAAGCAACTTAAAAATTACCAGGTAACTGGCACATCTCTATAATGCAAAAATATTCATTGATTGATATTAGAAAAAAAAACTAATTGGTTGATAATAAAACTCATTAGTTGATAATAAAACAAAATTTATTGGTTGATTCAAAGTTTTTTTTATGATATTATACAATGTATTTGTCTCATCAGGCATATAGAAATGTTGAAAAAAATAAAAAATATAGAAAAATAAAAATACAGAACAGCTTTTAAATGTAATACCTGCTAGTTTAATAAATGTCATTATCACTTAAAATAAAATGACTGTGTAAAATATATGCAGACATATATAGGACATATATGCAGTATAAAATAAGCTGTTTGTGTAAAAAATAAAAATGTATACAATATACAACATTTAAAATACTAGTACTGCACAAAAAATTGCTAACCTTGAGGAAACTTCACAAAGAGCTTTTTCATCAGGTGATGAAGCCTGTAGAAAAAAAAAAGAGTTTGACTATTAAAATTAAAACTCCTGAAATACTTAGATTGCTAGTAGCTCAATAGCCATTAAACAATTAAAAGCATCAACCAATCAAAACCATCAATCAATCAAAAGCATCAACCAATCAAAACCATCAACCAATCAACACCATCAACCAATCAAAACCACCAACCAATCAAAACCATTAATTAATTAAAACCATCAACCAATTAAAACCATCAACCAATCAAAACCATCAATCTTTTTTTTACTAATTTATTTTGGCAACCTAAATCTCTGCAATCCAGGTAGTATTTATTTCCCATTACTCCTAAGTTTCAAAAATTATAAAGTATTTTATATATCTAATGGGCACACATCATTTCCATGTTTTTTTACCAAAATCAATATATTTTTTTCAAATGCATTGATCATTTTAGTAATGCAAAGTTTGAGAATTTTGCACGGATTAAAATTTTCAAACTTATTAACTAAAAATAAGTTTAGAAACTTTATTTGGTGTTTAGTATCTACATGGTAACCCAATATGAACGACCACAATGCAAATTATTAAACTTTAGAGCATTGTTTAAAATTCAAACACATGTTGTAATAACTTAAAACAAGCAATGATGATAACTCAAAGAGAAACCGCTGCAAATTAATTAAAACAAAGAGAAAACATTAAAAACAAACGCAAAATCATAAAACTTATGAGAATCTTAATTCACAACAAAAATGCATTTTTGAATGTTTAAAAGATATATGTATAGTGTAGATGCCTCAGGTACATTGACTAAGTAAAAAATACAAAAAGAGTAATTAAGTGCAAAAAAAATTTTTTTCTATTTATACTGGTCAAGTCTCTAAGCATAAAATCAATACAGAATATCCAAACAAACACAAAGTGTGTTTTAAAAGTAGTTAACTTATTAATTTTAATTATATATTAATAACAATTATGTTAATTATTATAATTAATACATTAATTAAGTAATAAAGTATATAGATTTTTAAAAAGGTTCTCATTTATTTAAAGATTACAATTTTTATTAACAAAAATCTAATTACTGTAATTAAAAGTAATTAACTTTAGTAATTTGTTAAGATTAGTAACTTCAATAGTACCAATGACAAGACTAATTTTGTGTAAAATGTAAATATTTAAATTACTCTTGCAGTTTACACACTGTTTAATGATGTAACAAACTGATTATGTAGACTATTGTCTCACATTTGTCATAATTGTATCTGTATCATAATTGTATCAATGCATTAAAAAACAATAAAAAATCAAAACAAAAATTTTTCTTAAACAAATCTTAAAAACATTTTTTCATTTCGAGTTTAACCTGACTTAACAAAATTAAACTTTGTTATTGTTCTCATTTTTGAGGTTGATGTAGTTATTTCTTTCTTGTTCCTGTAGAAATTAACATGAGTACTATGTACAAGCTGAGTATGTACAACTTTAATGGTTAATTACTTAAATTGTTGATTCAATGTAAAAGATAATTACAGACATAAGATAAGATATAAAAACAAACATATACAGAGAAAAAAAAAATTTGCCTGAAAAAAAAAAAAGTTCCAGGAAGTTTAGAACAGTTGTACAATGTTTAAAAAACGTAAAAAAAAAAGAAAGTAAGTTTAGAGAGCGTTACTAATAGAGATAATACTAAGTAATAATACTAAGAACTAATAGAGATAACACTAAGTAATAATACTAAGAACTAATAGAGATAATACTAAGTAATAATACTAAAAACTAATAGAGATAATACTAAGTAATAATACTAAAAACTAATATAAATAATACTAAGTAATAATACTAAGAACTAATAGAGATAATACTAAGAACTAATTGAGATAATACTAAGTAATAATACTAAAAGCTATTAAAGATAATTCAGTGGGAAAAAAAAATATATAGATAATGCAAAGTGAGAAAGGAAAGCAAAGTGTTTTTTGTTTATATGCACAATTTAAATTTAAATTATAATTATATTTAAAAAATATATATATTTTTTAAAATCTTTACCAGATAATTATATCACATTGAATTATAAATAGTTTAATTTTCTAATAATATTTATTATACAACTATACCTGGTATTTATATAACTTTGAATTATAAAAAGCTGTAGGCAAGTGACAACCATCTGGAATATCTTCATCTTGGGAAAGTTCATTTGCCTGAGCAGTATGACACAGCGCTAATGCAATAAAAAATTCCTTTAACTCTTCCTAAATAAAAATTAAAAAAAAAAAAAAAAAAAGATAAAATCAACAAAACTATAATATTTAAATATAATAATTTTTAAATAATTAAAAAAAAATAATATTAAAAAAAAAAGAATCAAGTAAAAAAATAAAAATATATTATATCAATGCGTTAATTTGTAATTATATTTTTTACAATTATAAATTATAATTCTCAAATTTAATATAAATAAGTCTATAATTTAAGAAAAACATGTTGCAGAGGTAGATTAGAGGAATATTTTTTTCTTAAGGTAAATATATTTAAATATTATTATATTATTTAAATCTATTATATCTTAAATTAATACTTCACTTTAAAAAAATATATTTTTTTGCATATTTTTAAAAACTAGTTAAAAAATAATTTTCTTCTGCTTAAATTATTGCATCTTTTTTTTAAACAAATCTTCAAAAGCCACAAATATGGTAAGGCTACCCATTACTAAAGATAGGTTATCCACTATTATGAAAAAGGCTATATTTTTTATAATTTTTTTTGACATTAAAGGTTGCTTCACCAAGAAATATGTTGAAAAGGGATTACCAGCAAAGATCTGGGATTTAAAAATTTAAACTAGAATATGTGAATCATTCAAAATATATTAAAAAAAAAACTTTCATATTTATTTAAAATCTAAAAACACAAAACCAAACACATGTTAAAAAATCAACATTAGGCATTGGCAAATTAATATGAGGCACTGACATGTGATTTGTGGCAAACTTAGGCATTAAATTGCGATTTGGGGCAAGCTTATTATCTTATAGACTTGTAAATAACTGACAATTAATCAATTTTATTACTATTTTTATAAACTAGTTTAAACAAAGTTGCTGACTCATCATTATATTGCAATTACATTCTATTATAATTTTACTTACAGTCAAACAGCTGCAGTCATACCCAGTGTGTACTTGACCAATTGGAAATAGTTTATTATCTTTTTCCTAAAAACAAAATACTCAAAATTATGCTATTATTAGGTTAGACAAATTTTTTTTAACTAGTGTAGTTAACTAGTTAGGACTTAAAAGTAAAATATTTTTTATGTAATACAAAACGTTCCCTTTTTTTATGGAAATTTAGGCTTAAACTCAAACATAAAGTAAATACAAACAAACACTAAAAAAAGATGGATATACATCATCATCAGGTGAACATCCATTCACAATAGACGCCAAAATGTGAAATGTTTACCCAAATGAACAAAAGATTGCAAAAATACAGGTAACAGATGCTTTAAACTTTAACTATTTTCAGTTAAACTGATTATTAACAACCTTTTGTGCAATCAAAAGTTAAAGAAGTACAAAATCATAAGTACAATTAACAAATAATTATTAACAAATAATAATTAACAATAATTACAATAATTAACCAAAAATCTGTTTCAGTATCATTTTACGCCTAAAGTTCACTTTTAACTAACAGCAAAATTTTGAAATGTTGTCAAAAAAGTTTTAAGCATAAGATAATATGCTGATAAAATGTTGTCAGAAATTAACATTTAAAATAAAATGTTGTCAAAAAAATAAACATTGAATAAACATTGAACAACAAATCTAAATAAAAGTCAAATGTAAAACTGCATTTTTAGAAATTAAATTTTCGAATTAGATTAATCTTATTTGCCAAACTTTTGGTAAAATGTTTGTCAAAATGTTGGTTTAAGTATTGAACTAGTATACCCAAAATTTAGATTTATTTGGGTTTCAGCGTATTTCCAGTTTCAGTTGATCACCAATTCTCACACCTCTTGCCTAGGTATATTATAAACCTTTGCATATTAAAAAAACATATAGTAATATAAAAGGTACATACTTCATATTTAACTCCACCAATGGAGCATTGTCGAAAACGCATATTATTTTCTGTTAATGTTCCAGTTTTATCGCTGAACACATATTCAATCTAAAAAATAAGAAAACTTGATTAAAAATTTTGAAAAAGTTACAGAAAAACAAAATCAATAAATTAGATACATTATAAATATGATATAAAAAATGTTTTCTTCTGTGTAATTAATCAAAGTCAATTTTTATAATTTTAGATTATCAAGTTTCATACTTTTAGATAAGTGGAAACATTTTGTAATGCAGGGAAACAAAGTGATTATTATTCTTTATTAATACTTTCAAGATAATTTTTCATATAAAATGATAAATTTGTAATAAAAAGATCAAAATAGAGAAGAAAAATTATATACTAAAATTGATTTATAATCTAAAATTTATACCTGACCTAGTTCTTCATTCAAATCTGAAGTGTTAGCCTTAGCTGGCTCATCAGTTGGCTTTAAGAAAAAAAACTTAACATTTGATTTTGTTTAACATTATATAATAAAAAAAAATTTAATTGCAATAAATTTTATTTGCAAACATATTTTTAACAGAAACTTCGATTTTTTTTTAATTGTTGTAGTTACATATGATATATGCATACATATATATATAAATGTGTGTGTGTGTGAGTGTGTGTGTGTGTGTGTGTGTGTGTGTGTGTGTGTGTGTGTGTGTGTGTGTGTGTGTGTGTGTGTGTGTGTGTGTGTGTGTGTGTGTGTGTGTGTGTGTGTGTGTAAAATAAACTATTTAAACTCTATTTGAAACTAAATTAAATTTAACTTTTTATCTTCATAAATCAAAGTTTAAAAAAACACCAGGAAAATTATTTTTGTTTGACTTTCTAGAATTGATGCCTACCCTGGAAATATGTCAACTATAATAAATCTTAATTTTATTTCTTTTTAAATTTTAAAATATTAAAATTTTAAGTTGGAGAAAATAACAACAATGATAATTAATTGATTGATGTTAACATGATAATGATGATAATATGATGATAACATGATGATGATGATAACATGATAATAATGATAACATGATGATGATGACAACATGATGATAACATGATGATGATGATAACATGATAATAATGATAACATGATGATGATGATGATGATGATGATGATGATGATGATGATGATGATGATGATGATGATGATGATGATGATGATGATAACATGATGATGATGATGATGATAACATGATAATGATGATAACATGATGACGATAACATGATGATGACAACATGGTAAGATGATAACACGATGATGATGATAACATGATGATGGTACTTAAACTCTTTGCAGACTCTTGTTTGTCTTGTTTGTTCTGAGAATTTTAGGATAAAGAAAAAAAAGGATAATCTTTTTGGCTCTGGTGATGTTGAGGAGGCATGTGCATTGACCTTTGCTCATATCATTTTAAATAAATATTGACAATAGTCATGCAAGGATTCCTAAACATCATCAAATATTTTGTTAGAACAGTACCAAAATATTTTAAATCAACAACATCCAACTATGCAATATATAGTCTAATTCCAAAATGAGACATTTAAAATATTTTTTTACAAGACATGTTTTGAGTATATTAAATCTATAATAAGTCCTTTCAAATAACTAATATTTAATGCGACCGTAAATGTTACTTCAAACACAAATAAAAAAGACCCATGTAGGATCTCTATCAAGTTTAGAAATCCAGAAGGTCACAGGCTATACAAGATATACAAAATTTCTTGTCTTTAGTTGCCTAAAATAAATAACTAAATATTTAGAAAAGTTTTATAAATAAAGAAATGAAATTTACTATCAAAATGAGCATTAATTCAGGTCGTACACTAATTTAAAATTGGATAAAGACATCTCATTTTAAGGTATTTATATTTGCAAATAAAACTTACAACTTGTTTTCTTATGATAAAATATTCCTTCAGTGTTACCATAAACATTTTTATTTACCTCATGATAAAGTTCTAAATCCCAGTTAAAAAATTGAGCGCCACAAAACTTCTGCAATTCTATTGATTAGAAAATTTTTTTTTTTATATAATATATATATATATATATATATATATATATATATATATATATATATATATATATATATATATATATATATATATAAGATATATATACATATATATATATATATATATATATATATTTATATATATATATATATATATATATATATATATATATATATATATATATATATATATATATATATATATATATCAGTGGTGTACACTGGATTTTTAGATAATTGAGACTCTTACACATATTTTGCAAACTCCAAACTTTTGTATGTTCAAAAAGTTGTGGTGATTGGAGTTTGGGGAAAAAAAAAACTAAAAATTAAGAGGTTATTGCATGAAATTTGAAATTCGTTGATGAATATAAACATAGATAAAAATACGAAAGAAATTATTTTGTCAACTTGTTGCTACCACATTAAGGGCTGGGTGGGCCCAAAAATTGGGTTTACACCTTTTAAACTTTAAACTCAATGAGATGAAAACTCGTAAGTTTACAAGGCGAGTTTTCAAAAATAATATTTATTTCGAAAAAAAATTGTTTTTTTTGGTTTTATTACATGAAAAATTGCGTTTTTTAACAAAAAACTAAAAAAATGCATTTTTTATGTTTTTTTTTTTAATAATTCATTTGACATATAAGTTAAGATTTTTTCAAAATGTATATTGTTTTTAAAATTTTTATAAAATTTGGCTTCATTTAAGTACCAGGTTGACATATTTTTGAAAAACCTTTTTTTTTGAAAATATTAGGAACCCATTAAATATTCAAAGGTCTCGAAGGACCCCTAAAAAGTTTTTTCTCAAAAAAGTTGTTTTTAGAGCCACCCTAATGTATATATATATATATATATATATATATATATATATATATATATATATATATATATATCATCAACGAATTTCAAATTTCATGCAATAACCTCTTAATTTTTAGTTTTTATGACCCTACAAAGTTTACTGCCCCCTCAAATTGAGGGGGCAGTGGTTAAAACTTTATATGGTCATAATTTTCGAAAAATAAGAAATTATTGGATGAAATTTGAAATTTGTTAGAGAATATAAACTTAGATAAAAATACTAAAAAAATTATTTTATCAACTTGTTGCTCCCATGTTAAGGGCTAGGTGGGCCCAAAAATTGGGGTTTTTGTCCCCAAGCTCCAATCACCACAACTTTTTGCAAAACATTCTCATTTGACATAAGCATGAAGATACAAAAGTATGTTAATAAATAAATATATATATATATATGTATATATATATATATATATATATATATATATATATATATATATATATATATATTATATATATATATATATATATATATATATATATTTATATATATATATATATATATATATATATATATATATATATATATATATATATATATATATATATATATATATATATATATATATATATATATATATATATATATATATATATATATATATATATATATATATATATATATATATATATATATACATTAGGGTGGCTCTAAAAACAACTTTTTTGAGAAAAAACTTTTTAGGGGTCCTTCGAGACCTTTGAATATTTAATGGGTTCCTAATATTTTCAAAAAAAAAGGTTTTTCAAAAATATGTCAACCTGGTACTTAAATGAAGCCAAATTTTATAAAAATTTTAAAAACAATATACATTTTGAAAAAATCTTAACTTATATGTCAAATGAATTATTAAAAAAAAAAACATAAAAAATGCATTTTTTTAGTTTTTTGTTAAAAAACGCAATTTTTCATGTAATAAAACCAAAAAAAACAATTTTTTTTCGAAATAAATATTATTTTTGAAAACTCGCCTTGTAAACTTACGAGTTTTCATCTCATTGAGTTTAAAGTTTAAAAGGTGTAAACCTAGGGACAAACCTACTACATAAGGTTTATGTTTCTAAGTTTAGGGATGAAAAAGAGAGTTTCAAATAGAGTTGAAAAAAAGTGAGTACAGGATAATTTGTTAAAATATTTATATTTATATATCAATATATTCATCATGAGTTTTAAATGAAGCAAGCAAAACTATTTTTTTTTTTTGACCATAACTTTAAGTAAAAAAACAGGTGCTCAATTACAATGGTTTCTTGTAAGAAAACCATAAGAAACTTTCGGACTTAACACAAATTCTTATAGTTTAAACTTATTTTTATAAAAGCTTTTCCTACAGTTTAAAAAACTTAATCTACTAACTCAAATGTGCAGGATGTCAATGCTGCTATATACCTGTTTGCCATCTAAAAAAACAAGTAATTAAACATTGTAGGAGAGATAAAAACTTATACTCATGAAAGGAACATAAAAACTCTTAACTTTTACTTAACTTAAATGAAAGTATGCTAATTTCAATAACGGTATTCAATTTTAATTTTTTATTATCCAATAAATTTAAATTCAAGCATGTATAAAGTTTAAAAAAATTCAAATATCAGTAAATAAGTGAGCCTCTTTTGATTATGTTCCTCAAAACATTATTGGTACTTTTATTAATTTTTTTTTTTTTTTTTGTATTTTTTCAATATTAGTTTTAAATTGCTTTTATATTGTATTATTAGAATTTCACTAACTATAAATGTTTCGAAACGTGAAAAGCATACTGACTTGTAACTTAGCAACAATATTGCTTTCGTTTAACAACAGCATAAAAAATCTTTTTAATTAACTTAAAACAAAAGCTGAGAAAAAAAAGATTTACAAATTTTTCTTACCAAGAGTAACATATAAGGAGATAGGAATAATATAATTGAACAAAATAAGAAACGATAAAAGATCAATAACAACTTGCTGAAAATCCTGTTATTAATAAAAAAATATATTTATAAAATAAAATATATATATTTACAAATAAAAAAATAAAAAATTATAAAAATGCAAATTATAACAAGGGAAAAATTAGTTTAGAAACAATTGCATTAAATAATATATTATTAATATTTTTTTTGATTGATAAAAACATAAAAATTTAAAAAATGAAAATTAATTAATAAATATTTAACAATTTTTTAAATTATAAACAATAAATAAACCTCACCAGATTATAACTTTCAAGTAAATACCATCCTTTTCCTGCATCTGTTTTTTCCCATGAAGACTTTAATATAACACAAATAGATGCCTCAAAAATAAGCAGTCCAAGAAAAATCAACAAAAAAGTGTTCAACCCTCTAAAAAAATATATGATAGTATTGTAAAAAATATATGATAGTATCATAAAAAATATATGATAGTATCATAAAAAATATATGATAGTATCATAAAAAATATATGATAGTATCATAAAAAATATATGATAGTATCATAAAAAATATATGATTGTATCGTAAAAAATATATGATAGTATCGTAAAAAATATACGTTAGTATCGTAAAAAATATACGATAGTATCGTAAAAAATATACGATAGTATCGTAAAAAATATATGATAGTATATTTTTTACGTATCATAAAGGAACACTGATATCATTAAAATTTAAACTATTTCTAACTTAAAATAATGAAAAAAATAATAATAATAAAACAAGATATGAACAAAAAAGAAAAAAAAAATTAAATAATAACAAACTTTTTGTTATCATTCTAAAACATTGATGTAAAGGCTTATTGTTTAATGCTAAAACCAAATAATCTAAGATTATTGAAATTTAGGTTTGATTAACAAAGTTAGGTTTGATTAACAAAGGCAAACATTTCGTCTTTCATACATGTTTAAAATTTTATTACTTCTCCAGGGAATTCCTCTAATTCATCTTCATCTGATCTTTTTTGGTCATCCTAAGCTAATCCATACCATATCAATCAAATTCAAACCAATTCTGTTCCAGCTAAAGTTATTTTTCGCTCTATAAAGATTTCTCGCTAAGTACAAACAACTGATCTTAAATGTGATCTCACTTCTGTGAAAGCAAGGGGAACAGCTAGTGAACAAAAAATTCAAACAAAACTGTCCACAGTTAAAAAACAAAACTGTCCACAGTTAAAGTTGTTTACTGCTAATGATTATTGTAGTGTTGTTGAATGAATAAATTAATGAATGGCAACACTCTGTTTTGGCACATGACAGAATGATGCTTTTGCCAATGGCACACTGATTCTTTTCAGATTACCTATGCCCTTTCATAGAAATAATATATGAATCACTAACTTGAAAAAAAGGACATGTCCTGCAAAAATTCATATAACATGTTCCCTTTTTCCAGTTAGCGATTCATATATAATCCATCCTAAAGTTATTATCTGTTATCTTTTCTTTTTTAAGAGCATAAGATGAACTTAAGTTCAAAATTAATTTTAAAAATAAAATACACTTTTTTGGAATATCTTTCATCGCAACCCATAAAGTTTCAGAAGGATCTTTTGCACCTCTTTTACTAAATGGGCATTCAGTAAGAGCCATTGCTGGATAATTTTTACATAAATAATTCAAAAGTTTAATTTTTAAAAAAGTAATGTTAAACCTGTTTACCATATTTGAATAGGACTCTTGAGGTTCATGTTCATACTTTTTTAAGCATTTCAGACTGACAACTGTTGAAAAAACCACTTTGCCATTTTGTGTACCAAACTAATGAGATTTTTAACTTGCTCAACAGTAAGTTAAAAATGATTGAGCTGTGGTCCCAGAGTTTAGTACATATAAACTGGTTTCTTAAGCTTTACGCAAATAAAATTAATCTTTTACTTCAAAGTATAACTTAAAAACAATGACTTGATAACTGTAGACTTCAAAGTATAACTTGATAACAAAGTATGGCTTGATAACTGTAGAGTTTAAAGTATGACCTAATAAAAAAAGTATGACTTGATAACTGCTGCCATTGTACATTGTATATTCCACCTTCACAATGGAGTTGAAAAGATTAATTACTTTTCTACTTAACTTTTTTCTTTGTATAACAAAGTGTTCTTAACAATGTAATTTATAATTTTGATTTGATGGTCTTCAAATTCTTGCTGTTTCTTTATTTATTACTCAGAAGTAAAGTTTATCATGTATTTATTTCTAATTAAAAATATAGTTGTTATACTCGAAAGTTTTTATGCAATTCTGATAAATATAACCTCAATAACCATTTAATTTTGGCAACAGACGAATAGTTTAATTAAAATATTGCAACTAATAATGTTAGAAAAGTGTAATTCAAATAATTAGAAACTAAATATATATATAATATACACACATATAAACATATGCAGTGCTGCTGAGAGATGAGGGAGGGGGGGGGGCAAAAGAGACAGTTTGTCCCAGGTGGCAGATATCCAAGGGGCGCCAAATAAAAAAAAAAGTACCTTAAAAAAAAAAGAGGTCCTTTATCTACAATATAGGGAAATTCTGCGGCCCTGTACATATGTATATAAATTAATAAAAAATACAAATTTGTAGACTTAAAATTTACTTTTCGACTTGAGAAAATTTTGATTTCTTGGACTGCTGGTTTAAAGCCATTTTTGTCTCTTTTCCAGTATATATAACTAAACCTGAAAATTTTAAATACATAATTTCAGGTCCTAATCAAAACAAAAAATTTATAATTACTACATAAAATTAATAATTAATAAAATGATATTAAAATTAATAAAATAAAATAATATATAGTTAATATAGCTAATGAAAAAATTAATATAATATTAAAAATTAATATTGCATAAAATTGAATATTTTAATATTTAATATTTTGTTAAAACTATCCCATACAGTAAATTAAATGAGTTAATTTAAACGAGTTGATTACTAAATATTACCATAAACAAAACTTGTATTCATAAGTTTTGAACCTCTCAATAAAAGATTGCTAAGGTCAAGAGAACTAAAAAAAATATTGAAACAATTTATTTAGCAAAACAAAAGAAATAAAGTTTAAATTTTAATTAAAAAAATAGTCAATGTAAATAAATATATTATATAAATGAATAACTTTATAACTTTTCTGACAATAAAATAATGTATTTATAATATAATTAAAAAATTATAAAAAATATGAAGGATATTTTAATCAATAACATGCTAGTCACAGAATATCAATTTTAAGTAAACTATTAAAACATTGGAACATGAAACTAAATGTCAATTTTCTTAATCTGAGCTAATTATATAAAAGTGATTTGAAAATATGAAAATATAATTATATAGATTTCTAAAGGAGATTTCTAAAGAAATGTGACTAGAAAACTGGTAAGGGATATTACCCTATTACAAGGTGTTAGTCAGTCCAATGGCACCCCATATAAATGCAATGACCTTTTTTTTTCTTTTTTTTTTCGAAGGAATAGGAATAAGGAATTCCTAACACTTTGTAAAACAATAACATTAAAAATATTCCTAGCTAACACCCTATATTAGTAATATAAATATATAATGTAGTATGTATGTTTGCAGACGCCGGAATTAGGAAAGATAAGGTTGGCAAAAACTTGCCGACCTTATTCTGTGTATAAAAGGCATCAGGTTAACAAAAAAATGCGAATCAAAAGTTTGACCATAAAACATAGAAACGAGGTCGGCATTTTTTTGCCAACCTCAAACACTTCTAAATCGGCAGTAGGTAGGCATTGCCTAATGCCGACCCTAATTCCGAGGATTGTATATGTAAATATACATCTAATATAAATGTATGTATTTATGTATGTAGTAGTATTACTACTACTACTACTACTACTACTACTACTACTACTACTACTACTACTACTACTACTACTACTACTACTACTACTACTACTACTATATAAATTTACATACATACATAATCTTAATAGATAAAGCAGCAAACATGAAAGCAATACAGATTAAAATTAAAGCCATTGAACCAGCAATATACATGCAAGCTTGAAAATCATGCCTTAATACTAAACCAAAGAAACTTTTATATTTTACATTAAAGTTAACTTTATCTTACTATGCAGTTGGTGAGTCACCAAAAATCATTCTTCCATTAAATCTAAAAAATAAATAACCATTCAAAGCTAAAATACTTATTTTATAAATATTTAAAATTTTATTTAAAAATAAATAAAAAATCTTGACATACTTATACATGTCATATTCAGGATGATCACACTCCACGCGTGCTTGGAAGTTACTTAACTTAGAAGGGTTATTTAAATAAGCAGTTTTTTGCAGACTGTAACGAGCCTAAATGTCATTACCTTTTTTTAAAATGTTATTAGATATTTACATAATTAACATAATTTCTACATAATTTCTTTCTGTTAAAAAATTGTTAAATGAGCAGTTTTTTTATAGACTGTAACGAGCCTAAATGTCATTATCGTTTTTTTTTTAATATTATTAGACATTTACATAATTAACATAACTTAACATAATTTACATAATTTATTTGTATTAAATAACTGTTAGTTTCATAATTTTCATTGAAACATTTTTTGATTGTTTGTTCCAAAGATCATTTAAAAGAAGAAATAAGTGATAACTTAATAAAATGAGAAGTAATAAACAAAAATATTATTTTAAAGAACTGTTAAAATAATTTTAATGAGTTTTAACTTGATAAAATAAAAAGCAACTTGACAAAACAAGAAGTAATGAACGTGAAAAAATTTTTAAAGAACTTGTTATAAAGCACTCAATAGTAAAACTTTTATCTTTTAATTATTACAAAATATAAAAACTCTAAACTATTAATAATTATAAAAAAATTCAAAAAAAGTATTTAAACCTTTAAGTTAGTTTCTCCATCAAGATTTGCTGTCATGATACTGCACTCACTACCATCTCCTTCTGATGTTGAAATAACAACCATATCACAAGGAAACTCTTCTCTGTCTACAACTTTCACAATATCACCAACCTAAAAAATACATTTGTATTTTGGATTGGTAATACTGTGAAATGCAACACTTACCACATAAATGTTTGGGGAGGAGAGAGGATAGAGAAAAAAATTTTAAATTGGATTTTTTTAAAGTTATAAAACTGGGTCTTGACACTAGAAAAAATATTTTTGTATAAAGAGGTGGGTGGGTGGTTAGTGCATTATGTATAAAATATATATGATTTTTATTACATAAAATTGTTTATACTTTTACACTTATAATTATTAAAATAGTTTAGGATTGATAAAATAATCCAACTGATGCATTTTGTTTAACATCAGTGTTGATTAAGTTAAACCAAAACTCAAAACTTCTAAACCAAGCTACCAACTTAACTAAAACCTGTAACTTAAGTTAGTCAACTTTTTTTTTCTTTTTTTGTTTGTTTGTTTGTTTGTATTTTTGCCTCATTTAGTCTAAACTAAACTTAACTTTAAACTAACTTTTTGGTCTAATTAAAATAAGTTGATATTTTAATCTAAAAATAATCAACTAAATTAAGTTAGATTGGAAAGTTAACTTTAGTTAAACTAACCAAAAAGTTATAGTTAAACTGACCACCTTTAGTTAAACTAACCAAAACGTTTTAGTTAAACTGACCACCTTTAGTTAAACTAACCAAAAAGTTTTTAGTTAAACTGACCACCTTTAGTTAAACAAACCAAAATGTTTTAGTTAAACTGACCAACTTTAGTTTTTTTTTTTATTATTATTATTCACCTCCCCAAGACCCGAGGGGGCCACTACAGTTGAGGAGGCTACTCATTTTTTTTTTTTTTTAAATTGTAAACCGTGGTACAACCCTCTCTCAACTCTTTAACTTCGAAACTCGAACCTTGACAAGCAAGGCCGCTGCGCGGAGAAATTAAGTTGAGCACGATACTTCCAGGGACATGGTGGGAGTCGAACTTCAAACCTCTCGCTTACAAAGCAAGCGCTCTTACCACTACACCACTACCGCATATTATTAGTTTAACTAATCAAAAATTTTTAGCAGTGATGTACGACTCGCTTGATTTCTTGTAATTCGGAGAACGGGGATTCTGAGATGTCTAGTACAGCCAGATTTGTAAACAACAATACGTATGTAAATACGTTTTGACAGAATAATTCTTTTGTAAAGATGGTTTAACTTATTTTTAAACAATAATGCTTTAATAAGATGTAGTACTAATCTTTTTTTACTTGTAAACTAAATGGTTTATTTTGAAAAAGCTGGAATATGTTAGTATAAAACTTTTTATAGCATTTAAAGCTTGTATTTTTGTTATATTTTGAACAATAAAAATTAACATTCAATTTTATTTTTAACGTTCAAAATATAACAAAAATACAAACATTAAATGCTATAAATTAGATGTTATACTATTTTATACTTATATATTACAGCTTTTTCAAAATTGTATAATGCTACACTGTTTAAAAACAATGTAAAAATAATTGTTACAATCATTTAAACAATGTAACATTGTTACAAATGTTACATTGCCTAACAAAGAAAACGTATTAGTTATATGAACTTGTTTTTTTTTTTTCAATTTATGTATGTTTCAATTCTCAACTACACTCTGCAGTATGCTAAAAGGTTTATAATATAACTGTATGGTAGACAGCAATCAGGGTTTCAACTAAACATAAGAAAAATTTTTAACAACCCTACAATAAAGCTATATTATAGTTTTGTAAATGTTTCAATATTTAGATTTAATTATTATATTTTGTAAATGTTTCAATATTTAGATTAATTGCTTATTGAGCTCTGTTAGTATAAAACAACTTAAACGTTCCTTCTAGTTTTGATATATACTTTTTTATACTTTTATATATGTTTTTGTTATTTTTATTTTCCTAATCTTATATATAATATAAAAAATTTAAAGGATATTAGAATTTATAATTTCAATTTAGTACATTATAAATAAATACATATTTTTTTAACTAAATATAATCTTTTACTATTTATGAGTAATACGAGCCATTTTTTTAGGGCATTTTTTATAACGTGGATGTCACGATAGTAAAATTTGATGAAATAATAAATTTGAATATCAACAAAATAGTGTATCAGTTTTCTCTCCAAATGCGATGCATGTTTTGGGTGAAGGTTGTATAAAAAAACGAAATTGCAGTCTATCTTGATAGCTTTAATGATAGTTCCTGCTATATTTTTGCATACAATTATTTTATTAATGTTGTTAGTGAAAATGACTTCCATTACTCTTACAACTTCACGTAAACAAGAACTTGGTTCTACTGAATGATTTTTTGTTTCATATTTCTTAGTATAAACAAATTCATCAAAATTACCACAGATTTCAGAAGATGGTTAAGATAAAATATTTTTCATAATTAACATAAAGAAACTTTTTTAATTAGCCAACCAGCAAGAGAACATGAACTCTGTTCTAAAGTTTCAGAGCATATTTGTAATTTCAAATCCTTTATTAGTATCAAAGGTTTTACATTACCTATGTGAGTTGACTTTTGTTCATTGAATAATGAGTTATTCACTACATTACTTTGTTCATTTACTAAATTAAGACATAAGCCTAACAATATTGCTGCAGTGAAATCAGAGTATGCAGACTTGAATTGTTTGGCTGTTGGCCTGTCATTCCAACCACCTTTACTTCTTATAATCAAAAAAAAATTCTCTATACAGTCCTGATTGAAATGTGATGTGCAAACAAAATGAAAACCTTCACCAAGCAACTCTCTGGACAATGTCATAATGTTATTTATTGTTGTTATAAGTCCCCAGTGACTGGGGTCGCAAATACGCAATTGGTTGCTTCCACTTTATTGCAATACCCCGAACCATTACAACTAAAACATGATTTAATGGTTTCCCATCTTCATCAATACCAATAATGTGGTCAAGATCTCTTTCATAGTCTACATGCTGTTTGAGAGACATCTCATTGAGGCAACAGTTGCGTTCATTAACTTCATATAAATGACTCTTTTCTGCAAAGGTTTTTGCTTTGCTCTTTTTGAGCAAAGCAAAAACCTTTGCAGAAAATCCAGGCTGTAGGTTTCCAAATGCTTTTGACAAAAAAACAAGAAGAGTTGTCTTGGCAAAGTAAAAAATTGCCTCAAAATACGAAATGCCAAGATGCGTAGAGAAACTAGTTTGTCATGTATTGTCCACCTTTTTCCATGTTTTGTTCGCTTATTCATTTTAAGTTGACTCTCAAAAAACTTAAACTGGTTTCCAGAAAGGTATTTCTTTGCAAGATCGCAAATATGTTAAATAGATCCATTGCATTTTTTATGTGTTTTTAAAAACAAAAGTTTTTTGTTTAAACGATAATTTTTAACACGATTCAAGTTAATTACTTTTTGAAAAGTTAACATCTGTTTTTTAACTTTATCATTTAATAGAAATTTTGTGAGGAGGATTTGGTACATCAAAAAGGGTCGGAATCGCTGTTAAAATTGCTATTTTGCCTCCAATATTTGTTAAATAATACTGTGTTGGCTCAAAATGTTTACTGCATAGAGCGTATGATTTATTTAGTTCTAATGAAGTTTTCTTGTCGAGATCTTTGCAACGGCAATTGATAACCCACTGCTTACATCTAAAATAAAAATTATATATATATATATATATATATATATATATATATATATATATATATATATATATATATATATATATATATATATATATATATATATATATATATATATATATATATATATATATATATATATATATATATATATATATATATATGTATATATATCAAGCCTTCCCAGGAAAGGCGTGCGGTTTTTTGTTTCGTTTGACCACACGCGAATAGATTATTTTAGAAAACGTGAACACGGCCGTTTGCAAGTTTTATAATAATGCTGAAAAAGTTTCAAAAACAAAAAAAACAAAATTAACAAAATAATAAGAGATTGAAATAGAAAAAAATAAAAACAAATTAATAATTTAAAAAATTTGTGTACTGTTTTTATTTTTGTTTCTTTAGAGTTACATTCAGCAACAAAACTAGATAAGGCGAAGCAAAAAAAAACAGTTTGAAGTCTACAATAAAAAGAATGATTTTCTTTTTATTGTAGACCTGAAATTTTAATAATATTTGAATATCCGCTTTATTTTTTCTAGATGCTTTTCCACTTAAATAAATGTTTGGAATTAATAATGTTGTTTGAACAAAGAATGAACTTTAAAAGTAATAAGTGCTTTATAAATGTAATAACACTATTATAGTTTTATTACTTTTATAATGCAGTTAGTGACTAAAGTGTTATTACTTTTGTAGTTGTAAGTTTATTGTTTTTGTTTTGATTTTTGTAACATTCTCGCTAGCAAACTTTTAATAATTTGCTCCTTATAAACAAAGTACACAGCATTGCATAAACTAAAATTTTAAAGACCTAATATTTTACCAGAGTTTGCAAACGCGATCGTATAATTTAACTCTTGATATAAACTTGTTACATTATAATTATACAAATATATTTTACAAACAGATGACGATACATATTTTCTCTTACCTATTTAAAATAAAAAACACATTAAATATGGGAAAGTCATCCTTTTTAACGCCTAAACCGTTTTTTTTTTTTTTTTGCTTTGACTTAATGAATTTTGTTGCCGATAATAATAACCACTAAGAAAAAACAAAAATAAAAACAACAAACAAATTATTTAAACTATTATTATTGTATTCTATTTAAGTTTACTTTAATTTCTTATGCAGTTATTAAATTTAAAACAATTTTTCAGTAACGCATATAATATAACTTGCGCAAACGGACGTGGTCACGTTCTCTAACTTGAAAAACGTTTTCATGGTCGTACGAGAAAGAAAACCGCACGCCTTTCCTGGGAAGACTTGATATATATATATATATATATATATTAGGGTGGTTCTAAAAACAACATTTTTTGAAAATGTCTGATGGGACACCCTAAATGTGTTCTATGTAGTAAATTGATACTACATTTAATTTATAGGGGTTGCACAAGACCCTTAAACATCAGACAGGTCCCTAATATTTTGAAAAAAAAAGTTCTTCATAAGTACATCTTGTTGGGTCTCAAAAAAAGTGAAATTTTATGAAAATTTTAAAAATAATAAAAGAAATTTACGAAAACACAAATTAAAAAAGTTTATTATAAAAAACTATAGTTTTTTAACAAAAATAAAAAAGTACATATTTTCAAAGTTTATTATAATAAACTTTTTTAATTTATTAAGTAAATTTCTTTTATTATTTTTAAAATTTTCATAAAATTTCACTTCTTTTGAGACCCAACATGATACACTTTTGAAGAACTTTTTTTTTCAAAATATTAGGGACCTGTCTGATGTTAAAGGGTCTTGTGCAACCCCTAAAATTTTTTTATATGAAAATTTTTTAAATGTAGTATCAATTTACTACATAGAATACATTTAGGGTGTCCCATCTGACATTTTCAAAAAATGTTGTTTTTAGAACCACCATAATATATATATATATATATATTTTAGAACCACCATAATATATATATAGATACTAACCTATTTTTGTCTTTTGGAAAGCGAAAAAATGACACACTTTTATCAACATTTTTTCCTTGTTTATAATGACAATTAGGAGCTGCACAAAATCCAGCAGACATGGTTTAGTATTCTATACTATAGTTTGACTATATAAATAATTGAAAGAAAAAATATATAAAAATCAGCTGAATCATGCGATAGAAAAGTATATATTGTATTTTTTAATTTGTATTTGGTTGTTTATGTTTACAATCTGGCTGTACTACGCATCCCAGAAGCCTTTGCGTCAGCAATTACAAGAATTTAATGCAAATTTTGCCAAGTCGCACCACACTGGTTTTTAGTTAAACTGACCACCTTTAGTTAAACTAACCAAAAAGTTTTTAGTTAAAGTGTCCACCTTTAGTTAAACTATCCAAAAAGTTTTAGTTAAACTGACCAACTTTAGTTTAACTAATCAAAAAGTTTTTAGTTAAACTGACCACCTTTAGTTAAACTAACAAAAAAGTTTATAGTTAAACTGACATACTTTAGTTAAACTAACCAAAAAGCTTTAGTTAAACTGACCAACTTTAGTTAAACTAACCAAAAAGTTTTTAGTTAAACTGACCAACTTTAGTTAAACTATCCAAAAAGTTTTAGTTAAACTGACCAACTTTAGTTAAACTATCCAAAAAGTTTTAGTTAAACTGACCAACTTTAGTTAAACTAATCAAAAAGTTTTTAGTTAAACTGACCATCTTTAGTTAAACTAACAAAAAAGTTTATAGTTAAACTGACATACTTTAGTTAAACTAACCAAAAAGCTTTAAATAAACTGACCAACTTTAGCAAATTTAGTTGACTTTAGTTAAACTAAAAAGTTAGTAAGCTAATTTTAGCCAACTAAAAAGTTAGCAGATTAATTTATTTTCAACAAAAATGTGTTAACAAAAAAAAGCAAAAGTACAAATGTAGTGCCTTGCATACCATGCAATTTATACTGCATTTGTAACTCCATATCATACATACATTATCTATTTATTATACATATGTCTTGCTATTTATAACAAGACAACAATATTCAAAAAAATAAATTTACTTTTAAGTATTTAGAATAAACATCTTGTTCTTCTGAATTTTTTATTACTATAACTTTTCTGTTATTAACTTCTCTATCAGCTTTATGACGAAGCCAATCTTCATAACCCTTTGAAAAGAAAAAAACATTTAAATAGATCTTTTTTTGTTCCATTATGTGATGAATTTAAAATAAATAATAACACTACCTGTTTGATAGCAGTAACCACTATTACAAAAAGTAACGGTAACAAACTTGTCATTGGACTGACTGGAGTTCGATCTCTTAAAGCAAACTAAACATAATTTTTGATTAGTTATTACATCTATAAACTTTTACTAATGGCTCTGGTAACTAAAGTTATAAATTTAATGTATTATTTATTTAGTTAACACAAAAATAAATATACTCCAATATATAATAATGTATAATTATTTATAATTATAAAATGTACAATTATTTGCAAGTATTTGCTTACAAAAAACAATAAATTGCATCTATTAAAACAACTGTTTTTCTAGTAGATACAAGACGTGTTTAGAATATCTAAAACATGACATATAACATGCAAAAATAATAAGTATTTTAGATATCTAAAACACTTGCACTAGAAACTACTTGAACCGTACCTGAACTATCACAATGCACAAAAAATAAAAGTTTGCCACTCTTCGAAACTGTTCAAAAAGATTCTTTGCTGGAAAATTCCAAACTTCGTACTATAAAAAAAAAAAACATACAAAAAGTTAAAAACTAAGAAAAAGGTTATACAAAAGTGTATTCTACTTCAAATTATTTTATTTAGATGTGACTAAAGTGGGTGGCAAGGAACAGGAATGGTAAGATGAAGTAAAATGGTAATGAAGTAATAAATGGGGTGGTTATAAAATGACAAACAGATGGTCATAAAATAAGATGACAAAGAGGGTTGGTAATGAAAAAACTACAAAAACCATTTTGATCAATTTAAATGTTAGAAGAAAAAATGTGAATTGATTTTACTAAAATTATAATCTATGCAATTTAAAATTATTTTAATTTTTTTTGAAAACATTATAAATAAAAACAATGTTAAAAAAAAAAAAAAACATTTCATATTAGTTACTTTTTGATTCACTTAATATATGACAAAATTCTTATGTAAATATTTTAAATATTCCACAAAAAAAAGAGAACTTTAATATCAAGAAAAAAAAATTGCTAAATATTTTTTTGTGCGATTTCAAATAAGTAGTTTAAACTGTGGTTTAAATGGTTTTATTTTCTTCTGATTATAAAGTCAGTCCATAATAGAAGTTCCTTTACAAGCAACTCTCTTCTTTTTTTTCCAGTAACAAAAAAACCTTAAAACTCATTCCTTTGTCCTAAACTAAATCTGAGTTAGTAGAAATTTTTTAATTTTCTGCAATTTTAAAGTTAAAGTGGCTGATTTTTTTTTTTTTTTTTTTTTTGTATTTTTTATTTAACAAATAAAATGATTTAATTTTAAATTTCTTAAATCATTGTAAATGTGACATCAAAAAATTATTTTAAAAAATTGTTTTTTACCTTGTAAGTCTTGACAACATTGTCAGCATAATGTTTTACTATCTGGTGTACAGCAACGCCTTCTTCACCTGAAGGAATATTCTGATTTGCATACACAATACGAAACTCTCCAAGATCAGGAGGCTGGAAACATGGAAGTTTCTAGAAAAAAAGTTTTGGATTTATAATATTTAAAAATTAGGACCGAAACATACTTTTAAAAAATTATTTTTTTTAAACTATTTTATTATTTTTAAACTTTTAAAAAAATCTTTATCAACATATGAAGAAAAGAAAATTAGAACAAAAAGAGAAGAAAACAATCAGTTTAAATTAGCCACACTAGTTTATAATTGTAACTATTTATATTTAACATTTTCATAATTATTTCATAATTAACATAAAAAAATTGCTAACCATAGCTCAACAATCTAACCTACTACTATACCATTGCTCAACAATCTAACCTACTACTATACCATTGCTCAACAATCTAACCTACTACCATTTTTCAGTTGATAGAAGTTTCTACATGTCAAAACATATAGTTTATATCCATGTTTTTGTAATTACAAAAACAATGCTAATTTATAACATTAAACATAGTTTGACAACCATTAACTCTCTATTGGTTTCTCCATTTTGTTTTAGCACACCATGGTGTACTAAAAGAAAAAACCGCATATGTCTAAAAAGAGCAATTTATTGGAGCAATTTTTTTTTTCTTTAATAAAACAAAAATAGTGTAGTGTAAAAGCTTGGAGGTAATTCCTATTACCTATTGGAAACAATATATAAATTAGCATTGTTTTTGTAATTGAGTAAAGTATCAAATAATCAAATAAATAAAACTATAAAAAAAAACTGAATTAAAACTGTATAGACTGTGACTTCAGACAAATCTTCTTGTTTTTTAACTATAATTATGTATTGGTATAACTATAATGGTATATTAAGTACACCTCTCAAGCAAGAAATTCTAGGTTTGATTGTTACCACATCCCTGGTACCACATGCAACTTGTTGCTCTATGCAGCCAAAGGTTGTATTTTTTTTTTTTTTTATTGTTATTTAGGTGCCCCAAGAAGACCTAACAATCTTGTCACAAAGCACCCCGGAGTGCATTTAACCGGGAAGTTCACGCCTCCTTCCTTGCTGTGGCACGTAAATATGTCCAGGGCTCGTTTCGAACCTGGATCTCCTGCTTATAAAGCATGCGCTCTAACCACTGCACCACAGTTGCACGTATTTTGGAGTTAAAGAATTCCGAGAGAGTTACAACAAAACTTTTTAACAAGAAATTTTTGAGGAATTATTTTTTAGATAATTATTTAGTGTATTTTAAAAAAATGGCTTGTTCAAAAATATTTTTAATATATCTTTTTTAGAAATTATTGCATCACAGGACTCAGCTGCAGCCGGAAAATAAAAACCTTCTTTACTAAAGTATAAACACTGGGTGAGTTAACAGATCAAATAAATAAAGATGAACATGAAGTAAACATTAGTGATGTTTACAAATTGAACCTATTGAACGGTTCATTTTGTAGCAATTGTTTGTTATTCTCTTCAAAATAATTTTTCAAGCTTTCACTTGTATACCAACTTTGTCAAATGAAATTAGACAAGTTATTATTTGCAGTTAAGCTCTTGACATTTACAACTGCATCAAAAATATTGGGATTAGCCAACTTCAAGTTTTCTTGTATCACATTAGATGTTAATGCCAAAAACGAATATGAATATATCTGAAGAAAAACATCATTAAAAATACATTAAGTCAAATGTTGTTCTCAAACTAATCAAAATCACAAAGATGCAAATTGATGTCCAGATGTCTGCAATTTTTTCACTTATTTTGAGCACTCATTGAAACACTCACAAAAAATTAAATGAGTCAGTAAAATATCACGACAAATACTCTGATTTTCATCAAATCACTTATAAATCGCAAATAAATTGCAACAACTTGAAAAGCACTTGAATTGTAATCAACATAATAAGAGTGACTTGTTGACATCATTGTGAGCCAATCAGAAATCTATTACTAGTGTTTAATTATAAACGCACTAATTAGTTCCGAGATTTCTGATTATTTCCAAGAAAAATAAACTAAGCTTACTAAACTAAAAAGCTTACTCCTTTTAGCCTTATTCGCAACTGATTTGGAGGTTTAACAGCGTTGCCGTTTAATCTTTAAAAAATTTTCCTTAGTGAATAACATTTCCCTTGAGTTCAGCTTTTTAAATTAACTTAATTTTTTCTGACTTTTTTTATATTCTTTCCAATTTATTTCCAAGATTTTGCTGGTGCAAAAAAATCATATGCTTTAAAAGCCATTTAAAACATGTCCTCACGTACTTTTTTTAACAGTTCTAAAAAGAAACTCAAAAAATTGTTTTTAGTTGGAAACTTTATCAATAAGTTTCTTGTTTGCATTTCTAAAACTGAATCTAACTTTGATTCTTTTTCTGTTTCTTTTCTAAGAATCTTGTGGTGGTGTGAACACACTCTTTTCTTTTGCTCCTCTAAACTGATTTGGTATTATACTGAATATAATATGGCTGACTTGGTACTATAGTATGGCTGACTTAGCTGATAACATTTGCTAACATTAATTAAAGCATTTGTGATATTATTGTTGAACTTTTTTGAGAATTAATATGATCTTTACAATGCAATGAGTCGGACTAAACATTTTCATTTAAAATTGCTTATGTTGAAACCCTGTTTTATAAATGCTTGACCATAACTTAAAATTAAAATTATTTTGATCGTAAAAGAAAGTTAAATAAGTGGTTTAATAACAACATAAACAGACTCAATCAAAAGAAATAGAAGAAAAAAAGAAAGGATTTAAGATAAATATTAGGCATAATTTATCATTTGCTCAATAAAAGCAAATCAATGTCAGTTGCAGTTGAAGACAATGAAAGCTATTACAAAAATAACTTTTCACAATTCCCAGGTCAGCAATGCTTTTATACCTCAAAAGGTAGATATTTCGCTTAAAAATTTAAGTAAAAATGCATAACTAAAAATGAGAAATTTGCTCCCAAATGTCTTATATGGCAAGCAATCTGCTCCTGTAGTTAAAAAAGTACATCATATATTACACATAAAACTTTGAATAAAAGAATACTTAAAGAAACACCTTTTGCTACTAAATAAAAAGCATGATATGCCCACAATATTTTGGACTAATTTAGCTACAATCCACTACTCCCAGAAATATTTAGAATGGTATTAAAAAATGGCGTAGGTTTTGTACAGTAGGAAGCTCAGCAGAACATTATTGAAAGGTATTGGTCAATTATAAAAGAATTTCTGCTAAAAAGCAAGAACTCAGCTTCAGATAAAAAAGATTTTAAGAAGAAATGAATAGTAGCTCCAAAAAAAAACAAGATCCATCAGAGGGTGTCAAAAAAAACTCAGCAAAACTTGCACACAAAAAATCAGTTTTTATCTAAGCGTTCAATAAAAAATGTAAAAAAAAATTTTAAATCAATAAGTAACTTAATTAGCTTCATTGTGCCAAAAAAAAACTAAAGAAAAAAGTTATGATATAAACGACCGTTGTCTTGACAACCCATTTTTATATTTAATGTGGGTCATTCATTAGAAAAAATATTTTTTGATCCATTTTAATTAAATATTAATAATAACAATTTAATTTAACTCTAAAAAGACTTTTTAGGGATAATAACAGATTTTCATTTTATTCTACTACAAAAAATAGCTACCATACTATACTGCTACTAAAAATAGCCTTAATTAAATAGCTTAAGTATAAAGCATAAAATTAATTTTAACATTGAAAATAACCAAACCATATAAATGTAACAAAAAATGTATAACTTTATAAATACTGATAATATATATATTATGAAAACATGTTATTACTAACTTATATTAATGTTAAAAATTTGATAAAAGTTATTTTATAGAAATAAAAAAGAAAGCCCTGAGTATTCTTTAAATATTTTTAAAAAAAATCAGTGAGTTTTCCAGGTTTACAATGGGAATCATTACTCTTCCAGGTTGAAGGGCAACTCTGTTTTATATCTGAGTTTTCCTTCTTCAACCTTCACCACAGTGTTTAAAAAAGAAAAACGTTCTTAACTCACTCCAACATCTTTAGACACTCTATTTAATAAAAAAACTCTAATATAAAAAAAAAACAGTGAATTTAATATAGATTTTAAATGAAAACTTTATGTAAATTTCTTCTCTGATTTTTCCCTTTTTTAAATAGCTACAGCAAAGTAATTATTCAAAGTTTGTTGATCATTCAAAAAAAAATCAACTAAAATAAAAAAAATTGACTTTTTTGGAAAATCAATTTTTTAGTAAATTTTTAACTAGTTTTTATTTGCAAAACTTTATTCAATTTTGACTTTTTATAATAAACTGTTTGGGTTATATTATTTTAAACCAAATAATACACAAGAAAAGCTCATTTTAAAATTTTCATATTAACGTTATAAAAAATGACTTGTCTATTGCAATAGTTTTCAAGACTTCAAAAATTTCATTTTTTGATAGTTAAAAAAAAGCTTTAAAAGTTTATAAGGGAAGCATATGATACAATTTGCATCAATTAAAAATTATGATTAAAATCAAAATATGTGAATAAAAGAAAGCAAAAAATGAAGAAAAAATAAAATCCAAAAAATAATCATACCATGTTTTCATTTGTAATGAAAGAAACTCAGTGATGGGATTTTTCTTACAACTATCTGGAATAAAATTTTAGTTTTTAAAAAACCTTGCAGCAAACAAGTGTCAAATTCAATTATTATTTTTTTCAATAATTCAAATACTCATACAAAAACAGTTACAAAATTAATATTTAATTTTTTTCTTCATATAAAATTCTATAATTCATGCAAACAAGGAAACTGAAAAACACTGATAGAAAAATTAATTATAAATATATATATATATATATATATATATATATATATATATATATATATATATATATATATATATATATATATATATATATATATATATATATATATATATATATATATGTATGTATGTATGTATGTATGTATGTATGTATGTATGTATGTATGTATGTATGTATGTATGTATATATGTATAGATATATACATACATACATACATACATACATACATACATACATACATACATACATACATACATACATACATACATACATACATACATACATACATACATATATACATATACATATATATATATATATATATATATATATATATATATATATATATATATATATATATATATATATATATATATATATATATATATATATATATATATATATCTTTGCTTTTTTCACTCTATTTTTATATTTAGTATTATTTTTAGGCAGAAAACATGCAGTGTTATTTGATTAAAATGAATTATAACTATTTAAATAAATATTTTTTGGTTGAAATAAAAAGTTTTTTTTAATTGATTAATTACTTTAATAATTAATTTCATGTTTTTTTTTTTTTTTTTTCATTATTTGGCACAACTTTTATCACCACATAGTATTTTTAGAAAAATATTTTTTAGTTGGTTATGTTGTTATTTAAAATATAAAAATTATAAGTTATTTAAAACATACTTTGCATAATATAAAACAAATTATGTAATATAAAATGCTAGTAAAAAATTTTAACTTTCAATCAAGACGATTTTAAAATGTCAACTTAAAATCAAATGCTTTTTTAGAAACAAAGAAGAAATGGTTTTTTTTTTTTTTTTTTTTTTTTTTTTGTGATAAATATCTTTCATTTTGAATTTCCAAACTTAAAACCTCAGCTGATGTATGCTCCTACCTATTTCACACACTGAAACATACTATTTTTTTTGTTCTACAGTGATGGTTATTTTTATTCATTCATAGTTATTTTTATTATCATTCATATGTCATATATTTTTTTTATGTTATTCATATCAATATCATCTATAAAACAATCATTTTACAAATGAGCTAATTAACTTATTATTTGTAAAAGGTTAATAATTTAATTCAAATGCTTTCTTCCACTTGTCAAAAAATGAGTGAAAAAATATTTTAAAATGAATCTAAAAAAATATTCTTTTATTGTCAAAAGTTAGTAATCTATAAAACTTGATTTTAAAAATTAAAAAAACTTTATTGTTGTTATTGTAAAAATATAATTTTATTACTATTTATATCATTAAAATTTTAAATGTTACATAAATCATTATCAAAAAATCTCTTCTACTAATTTTATTTTTTCTTAAAAAATAACAAAAATTACCAGAATTCTATTTCAAAATTTGATTCCTTGCAAACATTGTTAATAGATGGGTCTTATCTTATAAGCTCTCCCAAGGATAAAGCAAATTATTTGAAAAAAAAAACTTTCTTCTTATTTATCTATTGAATCTAATGGCTGCAATTTTCTTATCATTCAGTGTTAAAATATTGCATTGTAATATTTATGTTTTAACAACTCATAAGGGATTGTCCATAAAGTACGTACGCTCTGAGGGGAAGAGGGGGTCGGCAAATGACATATATGAGATGGGAGGGCAGTGAGTCGATTATAAAAGAAAGGAGTCACTAAATTTAAAAAAATATTGTAAAATGTTAGATTAATAGTTAAAAAGCTTAGCTACTTTTAGGAAGGTGGAGGGTACTCAAAAAAGCGCATTGCAAAATGCGGGGGGGGGGGGGGAGAGAGGGAGGGGGTA